ATTTTGTCCTAAACCCAACTCTTGCTACTTTAAGGACGCCAAGCACCTTATATGGTTTGTATTAGCATGAATGGATTTCTGTCAGTGAAATAAGATGCCACCACTTTATAGCTTTGGTCTCATAGGCAGACCTCAGGCACAATGAAGTAGTTGTATGAGAATGGCTTTATGCCACCCACATGACTTGTGATATTATGATCTTAACTCATTTTACTCACATTTTCTGCAAAAACAGTTACAGCCTCTCCCCTTTTCCTCTCCCCCAAATATACCACATTATGATCCTGAATACAGGGAAAGCATTATGTAAGTGAAGAGCATTTCAGCCAATTTGCTGAGACAAGAAAAACTAACAAAGCAACTTTCCATATGCTGCACAGGCAAGACATTTGTAAGAAAGTGATGCCTGCAGTAGGAAAGAAAGAAAACTAACTCTATGGTGAAAGTTCTTGGGAAATACATGATAAATCTTTCTGCTTCATCTACATTCTGTATTTTCTATCACTTGTTCCTACATAATTCATCAGCAAGTACAAAACACTTGCAGAAATATTGCCAAGTCTTAAATAGGACTGAAAGAGTCGCATACATCCCCTGCCCTTCTCCCGTGTAATTAGCAACCTTTTTCTTATCATCTTTGTTACTGTTCTGTAGGCCATTTACACATCCTGTAATCTGGTGTACACATGTTATAGGCCTCTTCCCCTTCAAATGAAGATGTTAGAACACAAATAATGGAAATAATTGTAGTGCTTTTCCGGACATGCTCCTGAGCAGTCTGCTCTAGGTGCCCCTTCTTGGGCTGGGGGCTGGTCCAGATGGCCACCGGAGGTCCCTTCCAGCCTCAACCACTCTGTGATCCTGTGGTTGCTAGTTAACAGACTCATCAATTGCTATCCAGAGCTGTCAGTGGTGCCTTTAGGCACTTGTAACTAACTGATTCCAGTTTTTTAAGTGGAAGTCCTCAACAGCCTATGCTCAAACATGAAAAGTTTGTATCAAAAGAGGTGTCACCAAACTTAAGAGGACTTAAATACTAACAACAGACACTTCCCAAGTAAATCCAATCTATGTTCTGTCAGAAGCTAGATATCAAGTTAACTATGTGAACAAAACGGCCACCTCAGGGAGAAAAAAATAAAGGAAACAAAAACAACAAAAAAAAACCCTCTGACTGGCCTTCAATTTGCTTATCCTGCTATGCTGTCTGATGGCAGCTGTAGTTGCTTTGTAACGTATCCCAGCTCTCCTCAATCAGCTGAACTTCCAGCTGGACTTTGTCACTTTTGACTCCCTGCAGCCAACTTCTGTAATGCTTCTCTTTGTACACAGAGCTGCGGGAGAGTGCCATGGAGATACAGGCCACGTATGTAGCATGGGGGAGCATAGCAAGAGAAAAGGGAACAAAGAAAGAAAACTGACTCAACCTTTCTTCTGTGCAATTGCCACCCACTTGTCTGACAAGGTCTGAGCCTTGATGGGCTCAGAACACTGACAGGTGAAGGAAAAATGCCTTTGAACTTTGAAAACTCTACTGCTCTCTACCTCCTACTCTTCTCTGAAGCTATGTATGTGTGGTGAGAGACCTCACAGGAGAGAGGGCAGTGACTATGTCGAGCTGCTGAGGAAATCCAGTAAGCATATATCTTGGGCCTTCCTTGAAGAAAGCTCAACAATTAAATTCCAGGCAAAGGCTGACTCACACCTCTCTCCTCTCCTGGCTGGTACAAAGAGCTCAGAACAGGGCAGATAACCTGCTGCAAACTATCCTCTCCTTCCTGAGGTGAGGTGTAGCCTTTACATTGGTAAGACTGGACATGCAAGTAGCAACAAGCAGTCAGGAACACCAAATACTGCTGCTGGCAATCTTCACTGAATGAGCCCAAACCTGCATGCCACTGTGTGCAAGCGCGGACATGGCCAGGTGCACGCAGTCTTAGGACAAGAGTGTTGAACTGTGAAGTTGAAATAAAGACGTTTCAGAAATACAGATATAAAAAGCTTTTAGAAACAGGAACCAAGATGTTCTACACAGTACCTGTGCAGGACAAAAAGACAACCCCAGAAATTAGTTCTCTTGCAGCATTTATGAAATTCAAGGAAAGGGCATCTGATCACTGGGCTACAAAGAGCTCTAGATGAGCGAGCTGTAAAATAACTCAAAGGAAAAACAAGCCTAATGCATGTGTACCTCACTGCTCATCAACCAGGCTCAGTACAGCTCTTTCCCAGCACTTTCCTGGTTCTAGCTTCGGTGTGGTACTCCAGTAGCCGTGTGTTACAAGAGCAGAGTGTTTGCACAGAACATTCCCCTCCTTTGACAATCGGCAGAGGGAAGGGGAATGAATATTCTGTGTTTACTCAATTCTCACTCACAAGGGATATCTCTACCAGGCAACAGTTTTTTTTAGAGAGAGTAGTCCTCTCTACTCCTCCCAACACACTTATTTGACAAAGTGAGATTATTCAAACCCTTGATTTTTTTTCTTCTTAGTACTAACAAGCCTGGAACATTCTTGATATTGCAAGAGTAACCAGCTCTACATGCAGAGACTATTCTTTATATCCCCTCTGATGCTGTAAGAAAATCTTTTAGCTGTCTACAATACCTACAGGAAAAACCTTCCAACTCCCAATAGTGCAGATAATATTTTACATGCAATATTTATGACAGGACTTTGTTTAAAATACAAATTAACATACTTTGTGTACAACTACTCTCACATATTACTGTCCATATCATTGCTACCAGAAGATTAATGTGAGCGTAAACGTTACTCATCAAATACAAGAAAACTAGTTATTAAAGCTAAAGTTACTTCTTCACTTTCTGTTGTGGGGTGGAACACAACTGACAACCTTACTTACAAAAATTCCTGAATAAAATCTCTGACATGGAGGGCTGTTTTTTCTACTGGCCAGCAAGCGATTTTTTTATGCTTGTATTTCTAATGATCCATTTCTGATGTCCAGGTACTAAAAACATTTGAAATACAGTAACACAACAGGATCCCTATAACTAATTAATGTCTTCGCTAACCAAGTTTAGACAAGAGCAGCTCAGCTAGAAGCTTGGACTACGGTTCCTTGTCCCTGGGTCATTATACAAGGAAAATCCCCTGTGCACATACTGGAGTCAGAGGCATGAATAGTCCTTCCCTCAGGTATGCAGGGTGTGTAAGCTAACATTCCCTTTAAAGGACTGTAGGTGTCTGTGATCCAATGACTAGTAAAATGCTAATCGTAATGTTATCTTAGTTGTACTTCTGAAGATCTGCTAAGCCCTTGGCTTCACCTTGTAAAATGAAATTGAGATTATGCTCCTTTCACTGAGGCCATAATTTATATATTTTTTTAAAGAAACATTTCTGAGAGCGCACTTGTGTACTTTTATATGACATTGCAAATAAGAAACCAAGCATGAAAGTGGATGGAAAGGAAAAACCTAAGAAACCCAAACTTGTGGCCTTGTGTTCACAATTCGTTGGCATGAAGCAGCAACACCACAGCTATTACTTTGATGTACTTCTCTATTTATTTCTCTTCCCATTATAGAACCCCTGACATTTCCCTGGTATTCATATGTGATTAAAATATATTCTAATACCTATAAATAGAAATGTTGGTTCAAGTACTAATTAAAAACAAGTCTAGCATTTGGAAATTCCTATCAATAGAAAAAGTAAAAAGGTGCAGTAAACAGTGACTGCCTTTTTTTTTTTTTTTTTTACACTAAGAAAAAGCTAGACCTCTGTTCAATCAAACTTTCTATTAGTATTTGGAATTCTAGGTGTTTGTAAGTATCTGCTCAGCAATTCAGCAATTTTAGCATAAGAGTAACAAGAGAGACTTTGCCCTTTTCTTCAATTTTAATTATTCCCATAAAATTCCAATTACAACAGGGTAGGTCACGCACACTGACTTTCCACATACTTCACAGTAGCTTTTAATTAAACAGGAGTTGAATGTCATGTTAAGTTTACCATGCTTCCTCATTGTACATTAGTTTGGTTATATGCTCCTTAATAGCTAGCTTTTTTTTTTTTTTAATGTATAAAACCTACACATCTTTTATTTTCATGATTGGTTTTATGTTTTTATATTCCCTCCTGAGTACTTGAAGCAAACACATTCATTGCAAGAATGCTTTTAAGCAACTAGTTTTGCTGCTTCAATTGTCACAACACTCCCAGCCAGAGACACCTATGTGACTCTACAAAATGACCAGCTTTGTATGTGGTAATAAGGATATATTGGTTTGCCCCCCCTAAGATGTTAAGCTTTCTGGAGCAGGGATACTAGCCTCATGTGTGGCTGTGCTGGGTAAGGTACTTGTACAGTGTTCTATAAAATCCCAGTGACTGTTAACACACTATGTACATCTGTAGAGAACTGATTTCCCCTTACACTTCATGGCCCAAATCAGAACATGCTGTAGTCTCTCTGGAAAGCAGACTTTTCCAAACTGTCATTGAGAATTGGGAGCTCTCAGAGAGAAACAAACTGGGTGAACCACAATGAAGTTCAACTTCAGACTGGAGCAGATATGATTGCATTTGGAGACAACACACAGAACTAAAACAAACTTGAGCTGTAATGCACAGTCACTCAGTGAGAACTTCAACACTTCACTGAATGTGCTGCCTTGGGTATGCATATGACAGTGTATGACATCTATGCTGTATTTTCTCCTCCTGCTATGGCATCCAAACACACCTGCACCTACACGACACATGCACACTAATGCTGGACAATTAAGGCATCTTTGTGGCCTTAGAAAGGCTTTTGTGTGGATTCTCACTCTGTGTGCTTATTGGCAGGGCACAGCAGGCATGAACCTACAGACAACATCTTGAGCTGCAACAGGAATTAAGTGTGTTCAATTTTAGATTTAGACAAGGAAAAAACAACTTGGTTGAGCCTGGATTCAAGTGGGCAGCTATTATTTCCAGTCAACAATGCAATGGCTTATTTTAGGCAAGATTTTTTTAGTGCCTTACCTCAGCATCTTGGTCCCGGAGCTGGTACGTTTTCTCTAAGCCCTGTAGTGTTCTGGGACATAATGTCTTCTCCTCCAAGAGATACTCCAGAAGCAAGACCAGCTGGTCAGGGAGAAGCTACAAGAAAATTAAATGCCATGTGTGAATAGAGCTCTACTTACTAAGCAATTAAACGGAAACAAACCAAAGAGGACAAGATTGCTATAACCTATGTACTTCCAGCATGTGTGTGAAATACGGCAAGAAGTCACAGCTGATTTCTGAGAAACCTCAGGTTTTACATGTCCATTTTCTGAAAGACTTTGTTCTGGGGCCCAGTTAAGACATTTTCCATGGCTTTCATTACTATATAGTTAGATCAGATCTAAACCATGTTTATCTTATTGAAACATAATCACAGCTTTTAAATTAAGATTTTTATGGAATATGTATGCTAAGTAATTACACTTTCTTTGGGCTTGGAAGGAATAAAATAAGAATATTTTATAGTGCATCATTTCAGGAATCAACCAAATATATGCATATGTAATTAATTGTTAAGAGGGGCAATATTAGCCGTCACATGTGGAATTTCTCAATATGTTTCAGTGAACAAAGACAACACAAATAACTGACCCATAAAACAATGTTATAACATATTTTGACTCATATTCTAGATGGCATTTCTCTAAGTATATAAATATATACAAATATATAAATACATATATACACACATATATATTTAGCAGTTAGTTGCCTGACTCATTTTCAAGTTGAACCTAATATAGCCTAAAAAAGAAAAAGCACATGAAGTCTGATATAGCGAGTGCCTAAGTGCTCTGTTTAAAAGGCTTATTGGATGAACAAATAAATAATTCAAACAGAGCTCAGAGAGAAATTAGACTAGCTACCAGGAAACATATATTGAAAATTCAGAGTTCAGTCAGAAGTTTGTTACATGCCCCAAAGCTTTGTCCACTATTCATCATCATATGGCACCAAAATCAGAACTGGGAAGGGAAAAAGAATTTAAGCTTTTGCAAAGAAAAAGAAACTAACACTGCTTACTTCTAAAATCCTCCAGATTAATGAAAAAGATACCCTGTTATTTTAATTCTGCTTACAATTTTTATCCCATGTGCAGATGTTCTACTCCCACCAAAATACAACAGTTAACAATTAAGCAATATGACATTTTCTTCCCTTTCAGTCTGACATAATTTAATGTTAATATCTAAATCAAAATAAGGAAGAGAAGAGATCTCTAGGATTTCAATGATTTGTTTTCCTTGCATTCCCTTCCATGCATTTTATTGTTAAAGCTGTATTCTTAGGAACTGAAAAAAAAAACGTGCATCTTATTGGCTCTTACTGGAACACTTTCTAAGTGATACCCAAGCCTGCCAACAAAATGGACTTGTTAAAAACAGTCAGACATTCACAAATATTGAATTATTTCAATTTTAGGACAACCACTAAAACGCTAAGTTGAATGTTTATTGCACAGTCCAAGAGCAGCTGCCTAGAGGGTGGGGAGACACTTTAAAAAATAAAACCGTGAAGGCTTCTGGGAAGTGGCTCTGCTTGGAAACCGAATTCATTTTGAACACTAATAAAATTTGAAATACTGCAGAGCACCACATACAGAAAGGTAATCTCCTAGTCAGAAAGCTTTCTCTACTAACTATGAAGCAGAGCAATGCTTAATTTTTAGAAACTGTAGAACAGCTGCTTGAATAAATATATATATATATACATATACATGTTTATAAATATATACACATGTACGTGTATAAATATATATACACTCACATATATATGTATTCAAGCAGCTATTTTACCGTTTCTAAATATATATATCAAAGTATGTGCTAAGGGAGGTACAGAACAACTGGGTTATTGTATTATAGTATATCTTCAGTATAATTGCTATACAGATTCAGCCACAGAAAGCTATTGTTTCAGATAACAGAATCTAAATGAAGCCAACAAAAGCAAAGCAGCAAAACAACAGACATGTCCTTAATTTACCTTTGTCTAGGGCTGCATTATGGGTGAAAATTTCTCAGAATTACAGGTTAAACTCTTACTCATCTATGTGAGACTGCAGAGCAAAAAATCTGAGATCATGGTTTCAGTTATTTTCCCACGTCTCAGATGCCCAAAATGAGACTTTATACACTAGTTTCCTGCTCACTGTTTAATTAAAGTCCAAGTTAAGATCTAGCAAACACGGGCAGAGAGGGTGGGAGCACTTGAAGAAGAAACACTGTCAGACCTGGAACTGAAGTGACACTAGTGGGTGCAGCTATTACATTCTGTTCCCCAGTTACTTCCAAAAAAACAAAAAACAAAACAACAACAACAAAAAATTTGTTTCAGTTTTCCCCTGTTCTTTAAGTAAGAAAGACTGCCTAAGAAAAAATCTATCCAAAGGAAAGATACAGAAAGCTCAGTTGAAATTTCAGGGTGCGGACTGCAACAAAATCCCTCTTGGGTTTTAGAAGGCGTCTTTTTCCCAAATACAGCGATATGAATAATCATATATCCAAAGCAAATTTCCAAAGATTATAAATACCTTCATAAAATTACACTTAAACTTTTCCTTAAAAACAAACAAACAAAAAAACATTGTTTTTCATCTTCCTTGCCACCGTCCTTAGTTGTCCCATCCACCTGTTACTTCTCATCTTTCGCACTATGAAAATTGTTTGGGGTGTATGCTGTCCATTTTCCATTTGTTTGTCTTATTTTTAATACAAAGAGGCCTTAGCTGTTAAGTGCTACCAAAACATAAATGCTGGAGGAAACTAAAAGCCCATTTGCTTTAGGTATTGTGAAGCTGTTTTCATTTATGACAACTCATATTCTGCAATCACACCTTGGATACCTAACGTGCATAAAAATCACACAGCACAGATACAGCAAAATACAGCAGGATAAAGACTGTGTCAGTATTCCTCTCCTTGATGAAAACATTCTGAAAACAACCATAACACCCCAAACACAACATTTCAATCTTCCTGTTAAAAAAAATAATTAAAATTTCTCTCTCAACCACACGGTAATATACTCAATTGAAATGCTCAAATGTGATGTGATTCTTAAAGTAGATCACTTCTACCAGGAAATGTGGCAAATATTAAGGGATAGTATTTATGACGGCTACGATTGCTGTAATACCATCTGTTTATATTGTAAAGTAGATGGGTCTAGTCCCAAACTACGCCTGCCGCATGGAAATCATATTACTTTCCCAGGGTTTCCCCTCCCCCCAGATGAGAGTACTGACGCTACAAAGAGGGAATAAATTAGTGTGTTGTGATCAAGCACACCAGAAGTTTTCTGTCATGTTCCATATAATTAAACATCATCCCCACTATAAAGCTGTATCCCAACACTGCATACTTTACCTTGCCCTTAAACCTCTCCCGCAACTACTCAGCCTTTTGAAGAAGTTTACTTTGTCTTTCCATTAAATTGCCGTCTGTCCCCTGCTTCCCTTGCATTACCTGATGTGGTGGTTTTAAAGTTTAAGTAATTAGGCTCTTACCTCTAACTCAAACTGGAAATCACATGGAGTATCAAAACTAGTATTTGAAAAAGGCAAGATGAAACAGTTAATGTAAATGTCATCAAATTGAAAATATAACTGAGGCTATTATCGAAGCAACTTTCTGGGGCTGAGATTCAACATATACTAAATATCCAGGAACTAAGAAAAAGCATTACTTCGTATTTTATTCATACCGGTACACAAGACACTTAAACCATTACACTTTCTTAAAATAAAAACTCAAGACAGTTTTGAAAGTTTCCACAAATAACCTTGGAACAGAACAGAGTTTTCTGAATCCTACCCCTAACCTGTAAAAAGCACAAAGAAAACAAATCTCATCTCTTCAAAGACCTGGCACTGCAGCCACAGAGGTCGTCATCCTCACATCCCAGAAGACCACCCACATGAAGGAGCATATTTATCAATCCTACGTTAACAAATGCAATAAACGCCAGATTCACCCTTTATACTAGAAAAATGCCACCGAAACATTTGACTACTGACCTTTCACAGCCATGAAATGTGACACAGATACATCTACTTGAGCATCCGCAGCACCAGTGCTCGCACGGCACCCTTTAGCCAGGACACAAATCACTAAAGTAGTACAGCTGGTATGCTGAATATCCCATTTGCTCCAGCCTGCACTTGAATGAAGTCATTGAAAGCCTCCTCGGAGGGGAAATGTGCCTGGGACTAATGCAGCAACCAATTGACAGTGGCGTGATTTCTATTATTACTCCATTATCACACTGGGATCTGTGCCTAAATGAGCATACTTCCTCCCTGATGCCATTTCCTTTTATCCTGGCTCTAGTCTAAAAGCGGATCAATGGGAGTAATATATATGATGTCACTTCAATTTACAGCTACTGCCTCCCTCTCTCACATGCACAGATAGATCAATTCTTCCCAAAAATGGTTAAGAAATGCATGGGGAGACTCTTCTCCCAGAAAAGGGTTCTCTGCTATATTTGTCTGTGTAACCACAGCAAGGAACTGTTTATACTGAGCAAAAACAGGGGGGAAAGTTTAAAAAAAAAAAAAAAAAAAGAAAAAAAAAAGGAAAAATGTCACTACTGTATACTGGAAAATGCTGGCTGAAATACAATGCAAACGAGGCCCAACACAGAACTAATGCTATTTGACCTTTGAAAATCATACAGAAAAAGTTTCAAGTTTCTATGACACAATAGATTTCTGCAGCGTTTCTCTGGGAGAAGGTAGTCCCCTAAAACATTATATATATTTTCATTTACATTTTTACAAGATTTTCCAAGGTCAAACCAAATTCCTTGCCACCCCTCTCTTAAGAAAGGGAGGGCGAAACCCCACCCCAGTGTTCAATAGTGAATGGCTCCCTTCAGACAGAATTTCCTCATTAATTGCAGATAAGAAAGCACTGCTACTAGTACAGCAGACAGGATTTATAGGGCCAGGCCATCTCTGTGCCCATGTTCTGAACGGATCAAACGAGTCCCTGAACGAATCTCGCTTTATAAACTCTCCACATAGACAATTTGCCTTGAGGGCTGTTTTCTCCAGGCTGCAATTAAACAAAAAACCTTTATAAAAGAAC